AACTTAAAGGCCAAGAAGGATTGAAACAGGCAATGGGTGCAGAAAATAAGATGCCTAAGAGTTCTGAACAAACATTGTCACTAACGAAGAAGAAGGCATCGCCAAACAGAAAGCTAAAGGATGAGAACGAATGAAAGAGGCAAATTGTGAAAAAAAGATAAGATGCCAAGCAGATGTCTTCCTGTCATCTGTATTACCTTGATAAATACACCATCCATTTGTCACCGAAGCATCATTTGTTTAGACACAAATGTATAAACATCTGGCCCATCACAGAAGGCAGCACATCGCCATCAACAATATCAACCTCAAATTTCAGATTCTGTGCAACAACCTTTGGCACGCCTTGCTTGACATGCATCACCGGATGATCATCCGATAAATAAATATGTGCAAAAGTTCACAATAAAATCCTCTCATGAAGAGACATATTATGCTTTAATGCGGTTTGCTATAGATGTGACACATGTTGTAATATATATATATATACATATACACACACACACATATATATATATATATACATATATATATTATATACATATACAATATATGTGCAATTTCAATTATCGTTCCTAGTCAGCACTTTGATAATGTCCAATTTTCTATACGTTTGTATCCTTGCTTGTGCTTGTAAATGTCTTAGTTTTATATTTCAATGTCATGAATTCTTTTTCTCCATAGTTTAGTGCTTATCAACTGCGCAATCTGAGTTTCCTTTGAGATTATTAAATATTATCTTCAGGGGCATATTGTGTTTTGCATGTGGCATGCCCACTAGGCATTTCTTTATTCATTGAGATTTTCGGCCTTAAAGGCATCTTCTTAATCATTAAAAGAATGGACCACAAATCATTTTTTTGTCAAACTTTGAACGTTATCCATAACAAGATTTGCCTGGAGTTTCATTTTAAGGTACCGTTCTAAAACGTATATTTACAGATCAACCTGAGATGTTTATTTTTGTTTCAGTTGCCATAGACTGACTGACTGAGTTTAGTTTTACGCCGCTTTTTAGCAATATTCCAGCAATATCACGGCGGGGGACACCAGAAATGGGCTCAACACATTGTGCCCATGTGGGGAATCGAACCCGGGCCTTCGGCGTGACGAGCCAACGCTTTAACCACTAGGCTACCCCACCGCCCCAGTTGCCATAGAGCTGGAATACTGCAGATTGCCATGTTAAACAAACCTGACACTGAGACTTTTGCTTGGCACAGCTTGTAGTCAGTGTCTTCACCACAGTAGATATGAGGTTATATGTGATGCCTCTTGAGGGACATGGGGTAACCTAGTGGTTTAAGTGTTCGCCCGTCAGGCCGAGGACCCGGGTTCGATTCCCCATATGTGTACATTGTGTGAAGCCGATTTTCAGGTGTCCCCCGCCCTGATATTGCTAAAACTGGCATAAAACGATACTCACTCTCCGATGCCTCTTGTTAATAAGTTAATCAGTTCTGCATTAAAGTGTCGAAGTTGTGCTGCCAGTTCTTCTTTAGAAAGTGCTTCAAACTGACTGGATATCTCATGTTGTGTAAACAATTCTAAATGGGAACAGACATACCGTTTTCCTGGAGGCAAATGTTTTACTAACATTTAACTGTTAATTTTGTATAAATAGGGAAGTGAAATGTTGTTTGTTTATCGTTGGGTCTATACATTGCAATTGAGTTTGTATATTCTTAAATATAAAATTTAAAATGACAGCAGGGTGCGAGGAGGAAACAGTTATTTACTTGTATTTTTCGAGTTTATATAAATGTTTTATTATTACTATTTCCATCACGTCTGTTGTATTATTAGTGTAAATAAAGTTTACTTCAGTTCAGACATCAGCCATGTTGGTGGTCAAGAGGAAGTACTGGGGCAGTGTTTGTATAGTGAAGCGGTCATAAAATCAGACGCATTTCTCGGTCCAAATTGATCATGTCTATACTCCGTTTGACTTCATTTTAGACCGATGAATTGCTCAGTAACACAAAATCTAATAATTGCAACAAAACCAAATTTTGCAGAGTCAAGTGAAATCGACAGACCAGCTTTCTTGATTTGTCTCACCCGAATAAAAAAGTTGTTTAACAAACGATCATCATTTTGTTGTCACTTTTCGCTATGTCTTACGAGGAGGACCACTTGCTCGTAGAACAGCCAGGTAATCAACAAGCGCTTGCAGTGAAATTTCAGTTTCACACCTACAACTCGCACACCTGGCTGTTCTACCAGCAAGTGATCCTCCCTCGTAAGACACAGCGAAAAGTGATGTGACATGTTCCATTATGGTATCCTTTATATACTTCCGATATTTGATTTGAGTTGCAATACCTATACTAAATTATGTCTGCATCTACTAATTTCAATCAGTAATTGTTTGAATGTTATTCTCTATAACATGTCCTTCTCAGATAGGTAAAACCTCAGACAGATCCTATCTCAGACATTATCTGTATCTGACATGCTTTGATACCAGAGCTACTTCCTTCCAATTAAAGAATAATACAAGAGCTTCCAGATGCATACCACATACATGTACCTCATCATCAGAGAGAAAGCAGTTTCACTATATTCACCAAGTTCAAGCACATCTAAACACAAAAGGTGCTAACATTATGAAACTTTATCATGGCTAGTTTGCTTACATGAACCATAACAATTCGTACACAGCATCAACACAATTATAAGGGTCTGCATATTATATTATGGTGTCCTTCGGTTGCATCCAGCATCTGCTGATCTTTCACCCAAAAGTGAAAAGTTTGTTTGTTGTTCAACGCTGGTTGCTAAATGACGGTGGTCTGTTAATAATCGAGTCCGGGCCAGACACTCCTGTTAATGCATCGCAATGAGGGTACGAAAAGATGCAGGAATCAACGGGTCTAACTTCCCCATCACCTCTTAACATCAAGCTATGCTGAAGGCCATTTACGACCCAGGGCCCCATTCCTCAAAGCAATCGAAATGCTACGACTGTCATAAGTCAAAGTATGGGAGTTACGATCATCTTAGCGCTACGATCGCTTTGAGGAAAGGGGCCCTGATCTTCACGGGACTAGAGAACTGTTTGGTACAGCTTCGAGACTGTAGTAACTTGGGAAACAGGACTTGCGGACTAAGAATTGTTGTTTGTGTTTGATATAGTTTAGTCAAAAAGTTCGAAAGTAGGTTTTTGAGTCCCTCTGCAATTTGCGCACTTAACTGCTTCTATTCTCCGTGAGTTCCGTCCGTGATTTTAATCGTAAAATATGTGTTCTATTAATTTATGGCTAATTTGTGCAAAATATCACCAACACTTGAAAGAATTATGTAAATCTAGCCCCTAGTATGGTGGTGTAGCTTCAATTGCTGGTATTTTCAGTCAGTTTTTATATTGCATTGTCCATAACAGAGGTTTATTTTACAGTTCCATGCTAGTGCTATTTCTCTCTGTGTGATAATCTAGTTATTTTACTGTATTTTGTCGTCAGATTGTGGTTAGATAACTTTATTGATGATCAATAGATGACTTGTTTTAGTTACGATATGGCTGGAATATTGCCGATGAGATTCTAAACGTTAACTCTCTACTTTAAGTTCCACTGCAACGGATGCAGGCTGTCTTACACAAAATGCAGTGTTCGTTTAAAAAATATTCTCAATCTTGTTTCCTTACGATTGTTTTGATTTTGAATTACAAATGTCATTGTAAAATATCTCAGTTTATTATATTTAAGAAAAAAATTCGAAAGTCTTGTATTCCATGATAAGGAACGACATAACCAGCGGCATAATTGAACCTTTCCAGTTCTACTACCCGTGCTTGCAATAAGGGTCGAGGTTGAGTGTTGGGCCGAAAGTTACCTTGTTCCCAGTTCCCCAAAGCACCAGACTCCTGTCCTCCAACGACAGGAGGCACAATCGACTGTTGCAGAATGTATTCGCCTTGAGAGCTAGCAATGTGTGCCTGAGACCCATTCTACCATGGATTTCCAAAGGGACACTTTTGATTCAAAAAGCTGTCCTACCAAATTTTATTGTTCTTTTCATCATTGCAAAAACGTCATATGCCAGCACCCGAACCATACAACCGAATGAACTGATTAACACGTGATTATGTGGTTAAACCGTTCACTTGTAAAACAACATACATGGAGAAAATGTGTGAAGCCCATCTCAGGTGATGTGTCCCTCTCTGTGTTAGGTCTGGAATACTGCTAAACTCTTCGGAAAAGTGTAGCGCCCATCACTTGTTGTTTAACACACAGGAATGCCCTAGATGTTTAATAACCAGTATATAATCAGTATATAATGAAGTCAGATCGGATAATCCAGTGATTGATATTATCACAACGATCCATACCATCAAGGTGAGATGACTGACATTCAAACCCAATGTTTCCCGTTTTGAATATAACCCGATACTGTACAGATAAAGCAACTGATATTGATTTTAACAGTTCAATATAAGCATCTCTGACATATCAGCTCTACCTCTTCAGTTTTTAATCTTTTAACTAGTGACTTCTTGTGACTTCATTATGAGAGTTTGAACCAAGTAGGAGTTGATAAAGTAATAAATAGGATGGTGTGGTTCATTAAGCTGCGAAATGTGAGACACAGGTTTTGTAAGCACTCAACACACACAACGCTGGTTTTCTGTGAACATGCCTATCAAACACTGGATGTGCAATAGGCGACACTGCAGTGTTGAAAGTATGAACGTTGACAAAATACTCCCAATAAGCCAAGTTCCAAAGGCTGCTCGCTACGATTTTCTGCTGTTATTTAGAACATTCGTAATATAAGCATATACGATAAAACAGAACAAAAAATCAGTTTCGGATATGACGGAGTGTGTTATGTCAAACATCCAGTTCTACACACCCCTCAAATTTAATAAAATATCTGATACAAATGAGATTTCTATGCATCTTCCAGTCAAAAGTTAACCTTTTACAATTTTGCTGATGTCTAAAATTGGAATGCAGGCGGCAAGCTATGAGGATGTGTACGCATTGTTCAACATTCAGGTCAGGACTTGCCCACGGCTATTTATAGATCATAACGTAAACACTTGATCTGAGAGAGAAGCTTTCTATTTTCTGTTTGAGAGGAGATTGCTTGACATGGGATTGTTACTCTTTCTATGGTCTTTTACATAACTAATCATCGCCTTGGATTTCCATGTAAGTATGGAGTTTATTCTGTAAGCTGAAACAGTCTAGATATGAGGTCGATTAGACAAGGAAGTAAAAGGAAGAGAACCATTAGCATATGAAGATTCAGTGTATGTGTGCGAGTGTTTCACATTTATGAGGACATTGTATTTTGTTCAGAACATTATATGTATGTGCTACTTCCTCATTTTCAGTGATCATGCCGAAACTATCTGAAAATCAATTTTTTTGTAACTTTATTTCTTTTTCCAGTACATGTTTTACAATAAAGGGATAGTTCATGGTTCAATACACAAAATATCTACACAACAAGGGCATCATTCTAGCCATATGATGGTGTTCTGTAAATAATAAAGTCTGTACCAGACATGCCAGTGACTGACATTATGCACCTCAGTCTATGCTATTGGGCAACATGCATCAACCAAGTCAGCAAGTCAGACCACTCAGTCCCCTTGCGTCTTCTGACAAACATTGGTTGTGAGAGACAATTTCTAAGCCGGATGTTCACAGGTTAGGTATAGTGATCGCAAGATAACTTGATTCTTTAGTGTATCTAGGTGCCTCTAAGGCTGACATTTCCATGCATTTCTGCCCAGTATGTTGAACACCTCACTTAATAGTCCAACAATATTCTGAACGTGTGTGTACCTGCCTCAAACCATAAACAACCAGTCGAAGATAATATGAACAAAACCACTCAGGGTGCTTGTTGCTCCACACCTGAATCTGAAATTCATCAACTTGCCTTGAGTTACTACCACAGGTTACTAAAGTAAGACCAGAAATGCTTGGAAAATGCTTTTTCTTTTGGCAATTATGTGATAATGGTTGATATTTCAGCTTCAAAACTCACATATAATCATTCATACTACCTGGACCTAATATGGCATATGAGTAATCACGATGTACCATTCCCTAATCATAATGATTACTCGTAAAATATAAAAAAAAAAACTTAGAAAAAATCAATGGGAGAAACTCTTCAAAGAAACAAACTATAATGTGACCCACCTGGCAGGCAGACAGGATAACAGCGTTATGTAACGCTCGGGCAGTCAGGGAACGTCTCAAAATATCAAGTGTCAGTATCACTGCTGGTCGAGGACTCTAGCGGAATTACAACAGGTGCAACTCGGCTGACGTTAACGCCGTCCCGCAGGCGGTATTCGTCCTCGATTTTGAGAGCACGGTCTTCAGCCTTTTGTCACACTTATGGGGTAATTCACGCAAAAGAAGCATACACAAGCTCTTTAACGTCTGAAAGCTTGAATGTGGTATTATTGCGAGCAAATACATTCTTACAGTTACCCCAGATCAGCTCAGTGATGTACTGGATTGGCTTTTTGTGCTGCCGGACGTTTTCCATGAACTGGGGCTTTGTTTCTGATTGCTGTAAGGCACGTTACAGGAAGTGAGAAAATCCTGCAACTGAGCATTGAGATTACTCATGGTGGGTGTGATGGTACCATGGACACGCAGGTTATGGTAACTGGCGTTATCGAATATGATAACGCTTGGTTCGCCCAGCTGCGGTAAAAGCTGATGTTCGAACCAATCCAAATATACCTGCCCATTCATTTCGCTATGGTAATCACCATCAGATTTCTTGGCCTCAAAAACAAAGTCACAACCCCCAATCATTCCCTTGCTACGGGTACCATCATGCAAGATGATCAGGCGCTTACCTTTGCCTGATGGTAACACTATTGCCTTACAATCTGAGGGAAGCCACATCCGATCGGTTGAGTGATTTGTATTAAGGTATATGATTTGAAACCCAAGATTGCTGTTTTCTTCAACTGTTTTGAGATAAGCTGATCGCATGGACAGGATTGAGTACTTTTCTCTAAACACAGCTCTGTCATCTCCCCTTTTGGTGTACCTGAACCCCATTTCTACCAGAGCTACAATAAGTGTTGTTTTTGAGACATTTATTATCCCCCGCAACGCGTTTTACGGGGGGGTATTAAAATGGACTCCGTCCGTGGGTACGTGCATGCGTCCGTCCGTGCACTTTTGTCTTTTCCGGAGCAGAACTCTAAAACCGTTCACTACTTCTTCAACAAACTTGGCACATAGATAGATCTCGTGGTGTACTGGTGCCTTTTAGTAGTTTTGGAATTCTGAATAAAATATTTTTGGCGTTTCCATGGCAACAGTTTCGACTTAGACTGAAATTGGTGGTAGTGCTCTTTTCCGGAGCAGAACTCAAAAACTGTTCAATGTTTCTTCACAAAACTTGGCACATACATATATCTGGTGGTGTACTGGTGCCTTTTGGTAGTTTTGGAATTCTGAATAAAATATTTTCACTTTGAAATTGGTGATAGTGCTATTTTCTGGAGCAGAACTTTAAAAACCTTTCAATACTCTCCTTCCACTTTTCTATATACACACCTAAATATTTGACATAATCATAACTCGTAGACATAATCATGAAGAGCATTTTGCCATTGCGGGGGATATTGATGACTTTGTCTTCTTGTTTCTCCCGTATGTTATACTGGTATAAATTTGAAATTAATTGTTCTGCAGAGATATCAAGTCGCATATTGCCAGTTCAGTGCTCATACACGAAGTGAAACTTCTATGGGTCAACAAGATTATCTATGCGATTTGAATTAAGACTTTTTACGTAATTAATACAATCATTTATGTAATTTAATTAATTGAGGCTATATGAATAAATATAGGCTGTATTTCAAATCTACAGTTTGTTCTTACAATATTTACGAATGTTGTTAAAACGTCAAACTTTCCTCCTGTGAAGTCACCCCTCAAGTGCATTTTTTCATCTGAGCTTTAATATCCAACTAGGTAGAGTCGTACATGTATCATATATGTGCTTTAATCTTATGTCAAATTCATCATATTGATATTGAAGCCAAAAAGCATTTTCCAATCATTTCTGGCCTTACTTTAGGCACCAATTCGAACATTATGTGACCACCGTAGGCTACTAGACACCCAATTCAACTCTTGTATAACCACCATAGGTTACTAGACACCAATTCTACCCTTGTGTGACCACCATAGGTTACTGGGCTTCAATTCTACCCTTGTGTGACCACCATAGGTTACTAGGCACCAATTTTACCCTTGTGTGACAACCATAGGTTACTAGACACTAATTGTAACCATGTATGATTTGTTGTTCTTTTGTTGTTTAACGCCAGTAATTTACAGACTGACATCATATAGCTGTAATATTGTGAAGTGTGCCAGCGGTGTTAAACAGCAAACAAAAGTATTGAAATAACAGAACCACCTCTTGCCTAAAACAATGTTTTACTGAAAATTGCTGTGAAACACAATAATTGTAGGTCACTTGACCTTTTCAGATCACATCCCCACCCCAAGGATGAGTACCTGCCATACAGTTCATGCTTGTTTAGTGGCTGATAGAAGCAATGCTCTTCAAAGTTATTTTTTCAGAGAGGTGTCTTGACTTGAAAAAAACTATTCTTTAATGTTGGCAAAATTTCTGTTTAGTGACTGTCCTGTGATCCTATCAGTCTGCGCACGTTCAAGCTATGGCGACAGCCCCTGTTGAGTATGTGATTCTAGATATGAATGCTAATGGAGACACCAAAGCAGGGATGAGAAAGGAAAGAAAGCGTCACATTGCAGATGTGTTAGAGTCAGAAAGCCCCCTGGTGGTTTGCCTACAAGAATTTGACTGGAAGGGTATTCATTCGAGCACATTTAAAGACATTAAAGTTTCCGACCATTTTCAGTATGAAGGCCACAAAGAAGCAGGTTTCATATTCGATACAAGGGAAATCACATACTCAAGGATTGACAACAAAACATCAGTGCGAAACATGTATGACAGCATGGTGAGGAGAGGTGACATGGGCTCAGACTACTTTGTGCTGCCAAGACTTCGCGTCTATAAAATACAGAGCAAAGGGGCTCCTCATTTTGAGATCCTCTGTGCCAGTTGGCATGGTCCTCATAGGGTGTCTATGGAGATAAAGAAAATGGCCCTTGACACGTTGGTCAAGTTTCTTCTGAAATTGAAAGTGGAAGAGGGGAATGTTCCATTCTTGCTCGGGGGTGACTTCAACATGCCTGCATCTACTGTGAAGAGAAGACTCCCTTCGAATGGCAGTCTGATGCTAAACACGCCAGATGACTTGTCTATAGATATGTTCATCATTAGCTCCGATATAGGGCAAATATTTAGCATTTCAAAAGTTTGCACTATGAAAGGAAATTCAGCATTTGATCATTCGCACTTGAAAATATATTTAAAAACTGTTAATGACACTAACCCTCAACTTCTGCCTCCATTTCAACCGTTTGTTCAGACCAAATTCCTCAACACTCCACCATCATATCCTCCGCCTCCAGCTCCACCGTTTGTTCAGACCCAAATCCTTAACACTCAACCATCATATTCTCGGCCTCCAGCTCCACCGTTTGTTCAGACCCAAATCCTTAACACTCAACCATCATATCCTCCGCCTCCAGCTCCACCGTTTGTTCAGACCCAAATCCTTAACACTCAACCATCATATCCTCCGCCTCCAGCTCCACCGTTTGTTCAGACCCAAATCCTTCACACTCAACCATCATATTCTCGGCCTCCAGCTCCACCGTTTGTTCAGACCCAAATCCTTAACACTCAACCATCATATTCTCGGCCTCCAGCTCCACCGTTTGTTCAGACCCAAATCCTTAACACTCAACCATCATATCCTCCGCCTCCAGCTCCACCGTTTGTTCAGACCCAAATCCTTAACACTCAACCATCATATCCTCCGCCTCCAGCTCAACCGTTTGTTCAGACCCAAATCCTTAACACCCAACCATCATATCCTCCGCCTCCAGCTCCACCGTTTGTTCAGACCCAAATCCTTAACACTCAACCATCATATCCTCTCTGCCTCTCCAGCTCCACCGTTTGTTCAGACCCAAATCCTTAACACTCAACCATCATATCCTCCTGCCTCAAGCTCCACCTGTTTGTTCAGACTCCAAATCCCACAACACTCAACCATCATATTCTCGGCCTCCAGCTCCACCGTTTGTTCAGACCCAAATCCTTAACACTCAACTATTATATCCTCTCCGCCTCCAGCTCCACCGTTTGTTCAGACCGTCCAAATCCTTAACACTCAACCATCATATTCTCGGCCTCCAGCTCCACCGTTTGTTCAGACCCAAATCCTTAACACTCAACCATCATATCCTCCGCCTCCAGCTCCATCGTTTATTCAGACCCAAATCTTTAACACTCAACCATCATATCCTCCGCCTCCAGCTCCACCGTTTGTTCAGACCCAAATCCTTAACACTCAACCATCATATCCTCCGCCTCCAGCTCCACCGTTTGTTCAGACCCAAATCCTTAACACTCAACAATCATATTCTCGGCCTCCAGCTCCACCGTTTGTTCAGACTCCAAATCCTTAACACTCAACCATCATATCCTCCGCCTCCAGCTCCACCGTTTGTTCAGACCCAAATCCTTAACACTCAACTATCATATTCTCGGCTCTCCAGCTCCACCTGTTTGTTCAGACCTCCAAATTCCTTAACACTCAACCATCATATCCTCCGCCTCCAGCTCCACCTGCTTGTTCAGGACTCCAAATCCTTAACACTCAACCATCATATTCTCGGCCTCCAGCTCCACCGTTTGTTCAGACCCAAATCCTTAACACTCAACCATCATCATATCCTCCGCCTCCAGCTCCATCGTTTATTCAGACCCAAATCTTTTAACAGTCAACCATCATATCCTCCGCCTCCAGCTCCACCGTTTGTTCAGACTCCAAATCCTTAACACCTCAACCATCATATCCTCCTGCCTCCAGCTCCACCGTTTGTTCAGACTCCAAATCCTTAACGCTCAACCATCATATTCTCGGCCTCCAGCTCCACCGTTTGTTCAGACTCCAAATCCTTAACACTCAACTATCATATCCTCCTGCCTCCAGCTCCACCGTTTGTTCAGACCCAAATCCTTAACACTCAACTATCATATTCTCGGCCTCCAGCTCCACCGTTTGTTCAGACACAAATCCTTTAACACTCAACCATCATATCCTCCGCCTCCAGCTCCACCGTTTGTTCAGACCCAAATCCTTAACACTCAACCATCATATTCTCGGCCTCCAGCTCCACCGTTTGTTCAGACACAAATCCTTAACACTCAACCATCATATCCTCCGCCTCCAGCTCCACCGTTTGTTCAGACCCAAATCCTTAACACTCAACCATCATATTCTCGGCCTCCAGCTCCACCGTTTGTTCAGACACAAATCCTTAACACTCAACCATCATATCCTCCGCCTCCAGCTCCACCGTTTGTTCAGACCCAAATCCTTAACACTCAACCATCATATTCTCGGCCTCCAGCTCCACCGTTTGTTCAGACCCAAATCCTTAACACTCAACCATCATATCCTCCGCCTCCAGCTCCACCGTTTGTTCAGACCCAAATCCTTAACACTCAACCATCATATTCTCGGCCTCCAGCTCCACCGTTTGTTCAGACACACCAAATCCTTAACACTCAACCATCATATCCTCCGCCTCCAGCTCCACCCTCCTCAGCTTTTGTTCAGACCCAAATCCTTAACACTCAACCATCATATTCTCGGCCTCCAGCTCCACCGTTTGTTCAGACCCAAATCCTTAACACTCAACCATCATATCCTCCGCCTCCAGCTCCACCGTTTGTTCAGACCCAAATCCTTAACACTCAACCATCATATTCTCGGCCTCCAGCTCCACCGTTTGTTCAGACCCAAATCCTTAACACTCAACCATCATATCCTCCGCCTCCAGCTCCACCGTTTGTTCAGACCCAAATCCTTAACACTCAACCATCATATTCTCGGCTTCCAGCTCCACCGTTTGTTCAGACCCAAATCCTTAAAGGTCACATGCAACCAAAAAATCAAACATAATTAAAACACAATTATCACTTCTTCATGACATATAATATGCATTGCTGATTATGAAAAAACAAATAAACAAAATTATAAGCGTATAATCGCAAATCAAAAGTGCAATATTTTGTACTTGGGTTTACCTCCCTCGAAACGAAGCAGCCGGGATACCGAACCCAGTCAGAGCGGGTGGGTGTGCACTCAAGTGTAACGGCTGGTTCATTAGCAGATGCCGCCCCACGGTTCATTGTGTGTTTATATATAGAGATGTTGGGTTTTGTAAATACATGCTCATTTTTTGTGTATAACATTTTGCAATCAACAGACATCATAACATGTCATGTGTTCAAGTATCACACCTGCCTGTCTGTGTAATTACATAATGTGACAGAGACCGAACTCGGGCCATAAATCAATGCGTTTTGTTTATGGTGTATAGCCTGATTGGTGTTAAGTTCAAATTGTATGTGGTCAGTGATCGCAGTTGTGTATTGAATATTGTCATTAGCAGACACACAGGTGTCAATAAAACAAGACATTGAGTTTTGACTGTGACAGCGACATATCTATATCACAGTTAGATATTGTGTCAACGCTAAATAATGACATTGCTTTAAGTATCGAACTGAGAAAGTGACTCGGTAAGAAGAACGTGTGGTAGAAATAGACAAATGAAATTATATAAACAGTTTATTTACCGTCATAACATATAAAAAGCTCGCGCCTGTGAGATATCAACAAAACATTATGAAAATAGCTCACACCAAAGCCTTCACCGAGTATTCACCAGACAGCCCGCTTCCAAGCTCCGCGGACCTATTTCACTGCGCACGTGCTATGAGCGCAGCCCAGCTGTTGAAACCCGTATTCCCCAGAAAAGTCTGGGGAAAAATAGTGAAACGTTTGAACTCCGATTTCGCGCGGTTTTTTTTATCGCGTTATTTTTCAACTTTATAAGTTGAATTCGCATTTTTGACGCTTTGTTTCGGTAAGTCCATACCGAAAGGTATCTGAATCTGCAAAGTTGTGTTTTACGTTGCATGTGACCTTTAACACTCAACCATCATATCCTCTGCCTCCAGCGCCACCGTTTGTTCAGACCCAAATCCTTAATACTCAACCATCATATCCTCTGCCTCCAGCTCCACCGCTGTTCAGACCCAAATCCTTAACACTCAACCATCATATCATCAGCCCCAATTACTCAACATTCAACCACAATGTCAGCTACCTCCATTCACTCATTTTTGAAAACAACTCATATATGTTCTGAACAAACATTGTCACCAAGGAAGCAGAAAACATCGCCATCGGTGGTTGAATCCAAACAAAAAACTAAAGGTCAATGGGTATGAAATAACAAGCAGATGTCATCTTTTCATCTGCATTACCCTGATAGATATCAATCCCAATCCATTTGTCACCGAAACTTCATTTTTAGTCACATATGTATAACATCTGACCCACCATGTTATGATTGGAAAGGCAGCAATACATGTAGAACAATACCAGAATGACCATACTTATAATATACTGACTGATTATGTTCCAATATAACAGCAATATTCCAGCCATATGACAGCAGTCTGTAAAAGAACAAATCGGGAGGTCAGTGGTTGATATGTTATCCTTTGAAGTGAATTCTTGCATTAGTCATTGGTGCATGGGGTATTGTGGGCGAGCTGGCGAAGGCGCCATTTCTAGTGATCCAGCGAGCTTGAGGTGTCGGGATCGAGCCCACCTGTGACCGGGTGTAAAAACCATGGAGTCAACTTTGTGTGCAGACTCCTTCAGGGTTGTCACAATCCCTTGTGTACAGTACACAATCCTGGCATATGGTCAGATGGTGGCCACATGAATACGTGCCAACACCTAGTTGCAGGTACAGCAACGTGCAGTAAACCTGGACAAAGTACTGTGGTTTTGTGTCCCAGTCCACCCAGCTGTGTAAGGAAGAGAAAGCCGCAATAACTCGGTGCCCATGGTGGCTGCAAGAGTGTCTGATCCCAGGGGAGTTGAGATTGATAATACGATGTGCCGTTGAGATTTCCAATGATCGAGGGGTAAAATACCAGCGCCTTAAGCATGTACTAGTTGCGTGGATATGTGCGCTATATAAATATCCTATAATAATAATTGGCTAATTACGACCCGGAATCCCTACTAACAAGGGTAGTGTTGATTCAGATATAGTTTTGAACATTTCATAGAATAGGGACATCCCTCTCCAATCTGGAGGTATTCTAAATCAATAATGCCTGCAGAGGACTCTATCATACATGTCCTTAATTTTGAATGTTGATCAATGATGAAGGATTGTTGGTTGATTTATTGGTAACTTACAGTACAGTGAAAAAGAGAAGTCGGCAATGAGTTGTAGAATAGAGCAGCTGATGATTCCTGAGAATCTAGCCTCATGCAATGGAGGCATTGAACAATGGACAATCAAAGATATTTGAGACTGGTGTGATTCAAACAAGATTCACTGTCAGGAAGAGGAAGAGATGGATACTGTCCTTGTGAAGGTGACAGGTAGCGTCTCCGTGAGACAATAAGTGAGTGAGTGAGTATGGGTTTACGCCGCTTTTAGCAATATTCAAGCTATATCACGGCGAGTAACACCAGAAATGGGCTTTGTGAGACTCTAAGTGCCTTAAAGAATACCTGATGTTTTCATATCAAGAAAACAACATGGCAGTTGATGAAAAATGTGGGAAGACATTTTATCTATATTTGTGTTTGTTAAAATGATTGCTTTTAAACTTCATACCTGATATGTATATGGAACGGCAAAAGTCTACCTTTCTAGGCATTTTATGCTTTAGTATGTTGATGTCAGTGGATTAGAAGCTGCAATTTTACAGCTATGAGTATGAATTTGGAAAGACTCAGAAAAAACATCAACTAGTTAAAAAAAAGTGAGTCGCTTATTGTTTATTGCTCCAAAATATGATCGTTTTCAAAAGATGTAAGAATACTTTCATACTCTAAATGTTAAAAGAAGCCCAAAAATCCTGCCTGCTGCTTCATTGATAACACAAATATTGATTTAGTTGATCATGTGTAATTATCCTACCAACAAGGCTCTTATTTACATACCAAAGAGCCACTTAGGTATTTTAAACTCGCTAATGCAATACTCTCTTCTATTTACAGAACATTCACTCAAAAGCTTTTTAGTTTTCGGCGCTTATTGCTTGGTATTGTAGCCAGACTGTTCCAAATTTCATCTAAAATACATATTTTCTATACACTGAGTAATATTTCCAGGTACCCTTTTCAAGATATCATGAGATTTATGAGCAGCGAAATGTCAGAAAAAGCTTGTTAAATACTAAATGAAAGTAGTCATATTTGTCATTGATGATATCAGTTTCTGGCTTTGTGGGTTACAAAAAGCCTTCATGTCGATGTTGAAAACGGGGAACTGGGTCAGAAAAGAAGCCAGTGATTGCCTTTAAATGATTATGTTTAATACCTTTAAGCAGTTAGCTATTTACAAATCTTATTTTGCTATTATTCCATTTATAAACGTCCGCTGTAGATATACCTTCTTCAATTATGATAACAATGACACCGGTTAGAATTGAAGAAAGTATATCTGTACCAAGGATCTTCAGACTTTTGTCTTTTGTGTGTGTGTGTGTGTGTATATATATATATATATATATATATACACACACACAGAGGACAAAAGTGTGTGTGTGTGTGTGTGTGTACACTTTCAAATATTGTTCCTTGTCAGCCCTGTATTTGTTTGTTTGTATGATTGTTAACGCCGCACTCAGCAATATTCCAGCTACATGGCGAACGATGACATCTGTCAACCAAGTCAGCGTGCCTGACCACCCGGTCCTGTTGGTCGTTTCTTACGATAAGCATGGGTTGCTGAAGACCAATTTTAAGCTGAAATGATAGGGAGGTTCTCTAAAAAATGTGGAGGAAAATTGATATCATCGTATTTTTCGAGTTTTAATGAATGTTATATTATTACCATTCAGATATCAGCCATATTAGTGGTCAAGAGGAAGCCTGTAGTGCGGCGGTGTTGTATAGTGAAGCGGTCATACAATCCGGTGCATTTTTCAGTCCAAATTGATCGTGTCTAATTTGTTTATTGTCCAAGTCGAGTATTTCACGTAGCCATGGTAGAATGTAGGATTACATTTACTGCATTCTCTCTTGTAATGTGACAAACTAGTGTCCTCATGTATAAATAAATGATTCTATATTGTCTTCAAATGTTGCATACTTTGTGCATTTATAATTTGGATGTATAAGTATCCATTATATACTTCCGATATTTGATTTGAGTTGTAATACATATACTAAATCATATCTGCATCTACTAATTTCAATCAGTATTTTCAATTAGGTTATTATCTATAACTTCTGTTTCACTTCTCAGATTGGTACAACCCGAGACAGATCCTATTTGATACATTTACCTGTATTTCTAATCTTGTGTTTTCTGATCCTCAGATACACATATATATACTCAATAATTATCTCTCATTGATGTTGTATTGTTGTATTATTGATGTTTATATCTATTTGAGTAATTGTTATAGCCTTGACATACTTATGTATAGCCTTGAGTTTAAGTCATTGGTCAGTCGCAAGGGACGACATGCTCTACAACGGGAGGGGCATGTATAACCAGGATATTTATTACAAAAAAACTTAATACAAATTTGATAAACATTTTATGAAAATCTGCAGTCAAGTTAAGAGGGGTCAATGTACTTGGACACTGCACTGACCAGAGTAAAGAAATTCATATCAACTCATTTCTCTTGCAAATAACAAATATAATATTGGAAATGAGTGGATAGATTGGATCGGGTGACTCATAGGCGTGGTCTCCAAATGCCTACAGTGACAAATGCCTACAGTGTATGAATAAACAAAGTAATGCACCAGTGATTTCTCTTAAGCAGCATTATCTTCTCCCCATTACATAAATGGAACATTCCAACAGACAAGGTGAACAAATGCCCACCTACACAATGAAAAATGCTGGGGTTTTCATATATTTTATTGAAATGGAAATAACATTGAATTCATATCTTTACATCTGACAGGGTCAAATATCTTTACATCATCTTATGCATATTTTGACTGGCAAAGTTCGAGAATTTGTTTTACTCCATCTTCAATAGTCGACCAACAGCACTGAGAAAGTCCAGGGAACCTTCCACACCAGCTCGTAGCTGATCCTTTAGTCTATCAAGCCTGCTGTCAATCTCCTTGTACACACGACGTCGTGGCGGTGGTTTAGCTCCATGGATGAACTGAACAAAACTTGTACCGTTCGGATCTTTCTCCAACTTCTGAAGAACCTTTCACCAACACCAAAGGTGTTTGGATGAGCTCTCACTTGACGACCTTGTTCAGATGAGATGCACCACCCCTCGAGATTTGGTTGTTCAAAGTACGGGTCCTAGGTTGTCATGCTGGTTCCTGATTCCGACTCTGTACAGAAGGCATGGTCGTCAACCCAGGTGTTGGTGATGTAGTCGTGCCACCCTGGACCTCTTCCTGTTGAGAAAGATAGACAAATTGTATTGTAAACAAGCAAAAAGGATACATAAAGGCAGTGCTTTGTGCTGATATGATCAGATAATCTCTAGGAAGTTTCATAGTGTAAACAGGTTAAACTCATTAGGGTGGAAGTGACCACTTGTGTGCAGGGAAGCGTATCACTGCTGCTCACCTAAAACAACACCTCCGGTAGCTATTATTGCCTGTAGGCATTTGTCACTGTAGGCATTAAGAGACCTAACCGACTCATATACCCTTTAGGAAATTAATGGTCAAAGCGAGGATGCTAGAAATTGTAAAAGCCACCCTGAGGGGTTGGATTGAGTTGAAGAAGTATCATCTGGCGCCTACCTGTCTGGAGTAATGTTTGGTTTGAATGCTTGACCATTGACTTAAACTATTTAGTTAAGCAATTTCATACCTGGGAGAATTTTTATTATATCGATTAATTCCCTGTAAATGTCATAATGGGATTTTCTTGTTATTAGTTGGGATATGACTCATATTTGTATGAGATAGGACATAATTTCGGGGAGGAGCCAAAACTGTCATCAGTACTATTTTGTTAGTTGTCCGGTGAGTGGTGCGGAATAAACCAACGTTGACTGAAGGGCTTTCTCTGTATGTGAGAATTTTAGTTCAGATGAAGTAGAAAATTACGAGTTTTATAAGATAATCGACGTTCGATTTAGATGTTTTACGTCAGTCTTCAGGCTACCAGCCTATGTCGCTCCTTTCCAGAATTCAGTGAATCTGTGTAGTTATATAGATCAAGAGTAATATTCTGAGGACTATTGTGCCATAACTATTCCAAAATGTCAAAGAATTCGAACAGCACACCAGATTTGTTGAAATTATTTCAGCTACATCATCCCCAGACCAGGAGAGAGGTCAGACTGAGATCTAGAGTGACTGGGAGAAGGTATAAAACCCAGACACCTCGAAGGTAACATACAGAAAAAACACTGTCTCTGCCCCCACAGGCCAATGTTGAGTGAGTGAGTGGTGAGAACAGAAACATGCTCGGTTAGTAAGGTATGGTTTTATGCCACTTTTAGCAATATTCCATCAATATCACTGCAGGGGACCCAGAAATGGACTTCACACATTGTTAGCCTTATGGGGAATCAAACCGGGTCCTCCGCATGACGAAACGAACACTTTACCACTAGGCTACCCCTTACAACCCTATTACCTGAAACTTGTCCCAGTGTGGAATGTTACTTCCAGACATTTTGTATGTAAATCATTTGAGCTGTGGTAGCTGACATGCGTTGATACCCAGAGTTACTTTATTTCCAATTGAAGAATAATACAAGATCTTCCAGATGCATACATTCATGAGAGAGAAAGCACTTTCACTATATTCACCAAAGGTTAGGTTGCGGTTCAACGCATCTCACAAACACAAGTAATGGTTTTACACAGCAGCTCAGCAATTTTCCAGCTATATAGCGCGCTGGTCTGTAGAGGAGTCGAGTCCTGGACCAGACAATCCAGTGATCAACAACAATGAACATCGATCTACGCGATTGACATACGATGACATGTATCAAACTAGGTCAACGAGCCTGACCACCAATAGTTACTGAAAATCGAGTTCGGAGTCAAATAGAGACTGAACCATAACAATTCATACACAGCTTTTCTATTATAAAAAGTCTGCATAATGAATGAAGATTAATATTAATGTGTCATTTGGTTGCATCCAGCATCCAGCATTACCAGAATTGAAAGGTTTGTTTTGATGATCAACGCTGGTTGCTTAGATGACGGTGGTCTGTTAATAACCAGACACTCCTGTTAATGCATCGCAATGGTGATGCACAAAAGATGCAGGAATCAAAGTCAACGAGTCCCATTATTTTATCACACTCTTACAACAGAAGCAAAGTTTGCTGATGAGGCCATTTACGACCCATATTTTCACGACGCTGAAGACTGTTTGGCAGAAATTTCAGGGACTGCGCTAACTCTTGAACAGGACTCCAAGACGAGTGTGTTGGACTTTGTCGAAAAGAAGTAAGAAACTGGAGCTGGACCAATATTTTTCCTTCAAAGAGAAAACACTGTTTGAATATGTGTTTTTATAATCTGACTGACCAATTTGTACCGAAAATATCACCCAGCACCTAGTATGGTGATCTATGCGGTGCTGCTGTTTTCAGTCCGTTTTGATTACTTTATTATTGTACAGGGTCCTGAGTAAAGCTAAGTTCCATTACTGGTTTACATTCTGTGTGTGTGATAATTTGGTTATTTTATAATGTTTGACGACAGACTGAATAATAAAACTTCAAAAATGATCAATGGAATTTACTTGTTTTAGTCACGATATATGGCTGAAATATTGCCGATGTGATTGCCAGAATTTTAACTCACTCACTCTTGAGTTCACTGTAGCGGACGCAGGTTGTCTTACAGGTATCTTTACAATACCGACAAATTGTTAGCATTTGTAACACTGAGAGTGTTACACCTCCACAAAACGATATTTGAAATATCCAGATTTCCTACGGTATTGAATGAAGTTTAAACAAAAAAAGCAAGGTAGGGTGTTTGTTTTAAAACAATAATCTCCAATCTTGTGTTACTTGTGACATGCTTGGCGGTGTTTATGAAGAGCAAGATGATTTCATCCCCATATGTGAGAGACAATGGAAACATCTCTGACATCGTACGTCGACCAGTGAAGATTCAGGTTAGAATTGATCTTCCAGTAACCCGTAGCTTGTCGTAAAGGCGACTAATAACCGATCGGGTGGTCAGCCTCGCGTGACTATGTTGAGATATAATATGTCATCGTATCAAACTGCAGATCGATGCTCATGTTGTTTGAAATCACTGGGTTGTCTACGACCACCACTTCAACGTCAGAGACAAAATACCCAGCAGACAGACCAGATTACGCCTCCTGCACATTCCACTAAGATCAAACAAAGTTTGAAAGCGGTTTACATATTCCACTCCTCTGATAATGAAATGATTTTGGATTACATTTAGTAATACATCAGAAAATGCTATTTTAGTGAAATGCCACTTTAGTGAACAAAGTGCCAAGGATAACTTAGCAGAATGAACCACTCCGTCTGAAAGCATGATATACGAAACCGCAATACTCAAACAACAATTCGCAGATAATATCCGACAGGGATAATGTGCAAACCAGCAACAAGAAGGCAAAGAGAGTCCTTGCTCACTCCAGCAAGTGCTGCTTTTGAACAACGATATGATCCTGGCAAAAAGTGTCCGGCTGGTTCCAAGCTTTCTGCCTTTAGACTCTGGGCAAAGCTCAAAATGTAACATAAAAATATTATACATTACAATTGTCATTGTAAAAGGCATAAAAATATTGTGCCTGTTGAATTCTATCTATGGAAACTTTGTCGAAAGGCATGTATACCATGCTAAGGCACGACATTACCAGCAGCCCAATTGAACCTTTCCAGTTCTACCATACCCGTTCTTGCAATAGGGGTCGAGGTTGGAAGTCTTCAGGGACGAAAGTTACCCCTTGTTCCCAGTTCTAAAGGCACCAGACTCCTGTCCTCCAACGACAGGGGAGCACAAATCGACTTTTGTTGCAGAATGTTATCCGCTTAGCCGACTAAGCTAGTAATCATTTGGGTGTGACTGAGATCATTTTCCAACAGGACAGTCTCGATTGACGTAACCATGAAAATAGCTCTCTC